CCATGTTGGCTGAGGAATTCTGGGAGTTGAAGTCCACACATCTTAAAGTTGCTAAGGTTGAAAAACACTGCCTCAGACTCTCCCCTACAGGCAGGATTGGGAACACTCTTTTCTGGAGGAAGTATAATGGTATGTGGGAAAGGCCTTGGGAGCCTGGGCCAAGAGACACTGCCAAGGGAATGGTCGGATAAGAGATGACATAGCCCACAGCTGGATAGTGGGCAGGGCAAGAGGCTCAGAAGGGACCCTCCTTAGTTTCTTAGGCTGTAAGGGAGACAGGGGAATAATTGTACTTTCAGACTTGCAAGACATGTCAGCCTTATCAGGTAGACCGGACAGGAAACACAACTAGATAAGCTAATTCTATTTTGGTGTAGAGCTACACTGACAGAATCTTGCATCTCATTTATAACCCAAGAAACTAGGGAGGGGCCCTTCTGAGCTCGTCACGTCCACTATCCAGCTAAGGGCTATGCCCTCTCTTATCTGACCATTCCCTAGGCGGCATCTCTTGGCCAAGTCTCCCAAGGCCTATCCCACATACTATTATATGAAGCTTTTCGGAGGTAGAACCAGACAAGGTCTCCCCTCTTCTCTTTCTTCCCTTTCTCTCTTCCTCTCCTCTTCCTTCCAGTCCAATCGACTGCCAGGACATTTCCTGGCATGGGCCCAATGCTGGAAGGTGTCCCCCCTGCTCTCCCAATATGAAGCGCCTCCTCCCATGTATTTGACTGCTCTGCCTCCCATCTGGTCTTAACTACTGTCCCCTCTCCTGCATGTTCCATTTTGGGCTCACCCCGTCCCTGTGGAGGATAGAAGCAAATGCTTTTCTCAGACCCTGGGGCTTCAGTATTACTTCCTGCTGAGGACATCCTGCTGCAACAGGGATGAGCAATTGAAGACCCTCCAGTGAGTCTTGCCCCACCTCCACAAGTTGGCTTTTAATTAAGCTGTCCTGAAGATGGCTTCAAGCTATGGTGGATCCAGCCTCAGAATAATTCTGAACAGAACTTCTGCAGGTGGCATTTATCAACCTCCCCAACCCAGCCCCCAAACTTCATATCCACCAGGAGTAGTCCTGACAAAACCCTTGCCATCTTTCTGACCTGATGCTTTTAGAACTAGCAACCAACTGGTTTTAACTGTTTTTCTGACCATTACAGAGAGTTGGACTAGATGATCGTCAGGGTCTTTTCCAACATTGTGATTCTATAAGTGGTTCCCACCTACATTTTGGCTCTCCACATCATCCATATGCATGATTCACAGGAAAAACCTGACTCAATCCAGGTTGGGCTGGACTGAGGGGGAAGAATGAAGTTATCAGCAGTAGGCATACATACATGGAACCAGAGGAAAGGAAGGACTTTTTGCTTGGAGTCCTGTTCTTCTTGATGTCTGCATCTAAGTTGCAACATAGTGAAGATGAAGAAAAGTTAGATTTAATGGATCCCTATTGATTTAATAATCTAAATGGGTCCATCACTGATTAAATATCTGATAACCCTACCAGGGATGTTCTCAACTCAACAGAAACACTTCCAGATCTGCCAAGTCAAACCCTCAGCCAAGCAGGTCCTTGCATTATGTTCACAGGAGACAAGGGTAGAGACTTCCTTCACCCTGTCAGATCCACGTACACCCATCTAGGAAAGGGTCATGTGCATAGACTTTATTTAGTTCTGGACCAGGAGTTCTGTTCACATATTTCCAGAGACATCAGAGCAGATGAATTCTGGATTTAGAGAGACCTTAACTTAATGCCAGCAAGGCAAATTTGTTATCCACACTTGAAAATCCCCCTTGTAAAACATTTTAAGGAGACTGTGGCACTGGGCAATGCAGAACTTGATCCTAACCTACGTTTGTAAAAGCAACAGCAGCGAGGGTTACCTCTACAGAACAAGACATACAATTTACACAGCACTGTGCAACTATAGGCCTGCAGTAGTCTTTCAAATGTCAAGGTAACATACTTCAGCTTACATTAATATCATTCTGGCTCCATACAACCCAGTGGAAGCAGTTACTGGGGATTCTGTCAAATGTGAACTCCAAAGGTAAGCATCAGGTCAGCCAGCTCCCATCTGGCCCCTTTCACATACACTGGAGTTCCAGCCTTAAGACACCTGAAAGATGCTAGGTGGGAGAGGTAATCTCCTGAACCTTCCAAAAAGTGACCTAACCCATTTTGCCTAGATGCCAAGGCTGATACAGACTTACCAATGTTTCAGAAGGGTACGGTTATTACCTGAAAACAATGAGGCCATTGAGACGGACAGGTCGCTCTTGGACATGTGAATTAGGTTGGATCCTTCATTTCCATCTGCATGACATGGGGATGACAGAAGAGTGTGTCTCAGCAGGAAGATGGAAGGGGCAGTTTTAATATGAGAGGGAAGATCAGAGGGGCTGGTTCCCAGCAGACCAGCACTTACTCAACTTGCTACTCTGTGGGAAACCTTTCGGCATTGTCTGCTGAGGAGCTACTGGGCCTTGTGTGAGAGTGCAGGCGGGCCTCTGGCCAGGACCACCAGTCCCACTGCTTTTGAGGGCACCCAAACCCCCTGCATACTGGGCTTGCAGTGCCCTTTGGATTCAAAGATGCTTCAGCGTGCAGATGACAGCGCATGTGGCACCTGCTGTAACTGCTTAAATGAAAGAAGCCTTTTCCAAAGATCACATGGCATTTGCAGAAGGCAACCCTGTGACCCTGGGAAAAGTATAGGTACTTTTTAAGGACTGGTGGGCAGGTGCTATGGGAACACCTTCACCTCCTCCACAGCTCCTTTATGTCTTTGAATCCAAAGTGATGTACATGACAGAAAAGACTGCTCTACACCAGTGTTTCTCAACTTTAGCAACTTTCAGAAGTGTGGACTTCAACTCCCAGAATTCCCAGCCAACATGCATGAACTTCAGCTCTCAGAATTCCCCAGCCAGTATGTGCAGATTTCAACTCCCAGAATTTCCCAACCAGCATGTGTGAACCACACATCTTAAAGTTGCTGAGGTTGAGAAACACTCCTCTACACCACCCAACCATTAGGGGGAACTTTCAGGAGATTTCCAAGAAGGCCCATAATTCTATAGAATTATTTTAAAAAAATACAAAATAAGGAGGGTGAGCCCCCTGGCCTTGAGCTCTTAAGGCCACTTCCTGCTCATTTCCGGACTCACAGTATTTGGAAAACAACCTCAAACTCCCCTCTTTACTACTCCTCAGGATACTTAAATGTGATACCTACTAAACAGCCCTGTAAATTAAGTAATCATCAGATGCTAAATAGAGGCCAACCATCGACATCTGCTCCAGTGACCCCTCTAGAATTAGACAAGCATAGCAGAATTGGAAGTGCAAGGGAGAGAGAGAAAGAGCAGGCACACTTTGCAATTTCATAAGGACTGAACCACTCCTTTTGCAGGGGAGGGATGGGGGTGGGGGGGACTAAATGATAAAGTTGCCAAAATAAAGGTGGGGGGGAGAGAGAATAGAAGTACCTCCATACTCCCTATATTCAAAATAGGCATTTATGCTTGCTTTCCGAAATGCAAGGGACTGTCAACAATATAATTATAAGACAAGAAGAGCCAAATCTACAGTGGGCCTACCACATATCTCTTGTCATTTCTGTCCTACTCTTCAATATCAGGAAACCAAGTACCAGGAAACCACCCCCATTTTTAGGACTCATCAGGTACTTTCTTAAAACACCCCCGTCTGTGATGTCTCTGGCTCAGGTGATGGACTGGGAACAGCAATTGTCATTCTAAGTGGACAACATTGTGTTGAATGGACCTAGATGGTCTCCTTATAAGGTTTCTGTTTCATCACCCTGGATAAAGAATAAAGGAAGGGTAGCACAGGGCTCATGCCAGGGATGTCACCTTACCTCGGATCTCATACTCATCCACCTCTTCTGCAGAACCTGAGTCAGAGGGACACGTTGACTCTTGGGAGCTGAAATATGATCCGCTGTCTGTTGCCTTCAGACCTGGGGGACCCATGGAAGGGTGAGGAAGCTTGCATTACATGACCATGAAGATTTTTCACCGTCATCAACAGGACATAATACATAACTGGACAAGAGCAATGGAGCCATCAGTATATATTCCCTTAGGCTTTTATCCAAGTCTCAAACTTTCCAGAATCGGTGTAGTTAATGCTGCTCCTTAGAATGGGTTGGTAGAGGTGGGTCCTCCTTGCCCTTAACTGACTTTTGGGCCACCTTTCCATCTGGCTATTGCAATTACTAGAGGTGGGCCATTTGGTGCTTCCTGTGTCTGAATAGGGCATATCTGAGCTGGCCATAAAAAAAGATCAGCTATAATGACAAGGGAGGATTGGGAGAAGGATCTATCATGGGAGCTGAGAATCATATGCTTCTGCTGCATATGAGCTGAGTATGGTCAACAGGGGACTCCAGTCTTCAGGCTGACCCAGCTCCTCCAAGCTAATTACCAGAAAATGGGAATTTCAAGGGACGAGGGAAATTGGCCAACATTCATCCTACGAAGGGAGGGTCTTACATTTTAACTCCTTGCCCTGATTCAAGGTGGGAAAGACTGCCTCGAGTGTGAGAGAAAATATGTTTTCACACCACACATAGCTGAACGGTGGCATTTGTTCCTACCAGTTGAGCTGTGTAGTAACAGCAGCCATACAAATGGTTTGGAAAGGAGACTGGACAGGTTTTTGGCAGACTAGGCCATCAACAGCTGCTAATAGAGATTGCTGTTTTCCATCTTCTGAAATATCAACAGCAGGCCTTCAAAACTGCTGCTGGGAAGACACACTACAAGGGGGCTTTTGCTCTCCTATCCAGGCTGGTGAACTTCTCAAAGGCATTTAGTTCTCCACTGAGTGACTCAGAAGACAGGGACAGATGAACCAAGGACCTGATCCAGCTTCAGGTCTTTTCCTACATTCATACACAGAATTGGTCCATAGAGAAACACTGAATTTCTCCAGGACAAGTTTCCAAAGCACTAGATGTTTTAGGAACTCTGTCCCAAATCTACAGTTGCAGAAACAGCCTGAGGTCTCTCTGATGGCTTCAGCCCCAAGCAAGTCTTTTTGATGGCAACTTAGCAACATTCCAAAGGAAAGGAAGCACTCACTGTCAGAGCCCAAATCCTGGCACACTGGGTGGAGGTAGCGGGTCCGGATCTGTTGCCGGCGGATACGGATCTTCTGCTTGAGGTCCTGTATCACCTTGTCGCTTTCTTCCTCCTCCTCTTCCATCTGTCGGTTCATCATGTTGCACTTCATCAGCTCAATAGCAGCAATAAGTGATTCGGAGATGCTGAAGTGAGCATTTTCCTGGGGTGAAGGGAGAGAAGCTGTCAAACTGTCCACAGAGCAGAGAATTACATATTTTAGAAGGAAGAAGGAAGAAGTATGGGTGGAGGGGAGGTTCAGTGAAATGACTGTAGTCTAGTTTTCCTTGCTGATGCTTGGGCCAATCCTCTCCCTCCCAAACGCCTATGTTATTCCAGGCTTCTTCTGCAGGGTTGCAGAATTTAGAAACGTGCATAGTAAAAAGCACCCTGAAAATTCCATGTGCCCTGTGAGTTTAAGACACATAAAAGTTATATTTTTAGAAACAGCTTCTGACCAAGACAGGACATTTTCCTACCCAGCTGCTCTACAAAAAAGCAAGTCTCTAATTTATATATTCAGCCAGACTTTTTATTAGTTACTGTAGAAGATGGATTAAATTTAATAAAATACACAGCCAAAGACCAAAAAAAGAGAAAAGGTTGAGAAATTCATCAGAATACAGGGAGTCCCCAGTTTAAGAACGAGTTCTGTTCTCAAGGTTTGTCCTTAAGCTGAACTTGTATGTAAGTCGGAACAGTATTATTGTATAATACTGAATAAGTAGTATTGTGCAATGAACTTGTGTATTTAATTCAAATCATTGTGTATTTAACTTGAATTTTGCTACAATAAGCTCCGTTCTTAACTATGGGTTGTCCATAACCCAGATGTTCTTAACATAGGGACTACCTAAACCTTTAGTATCTAAGACTAAGCGTACCCAAACTACAGTCAGATCCAGCAATTTTGACACTCGCTGCAATGGCACAAAATTTGGCAACCATTCTGGAAACTCCCCAGTTTAGACCAGCATTTCTCAACCTCAGCAACTTTAAGATGGGTGGACTTCAACTCCCGGAATTCCCCAGTCAGTCTGCATGAACTTCCAGTTCCAGAATTCCCCAGCCAGCATGCTGGCTGGGGAATTTTGGGACGAAGTCCACTCATTCTTAAAGTCACTAAAATTGAGAAACACTACTTTAGATAATCTGCACAATTGCCATGGGAGAGCGATCTAAGTAACTTATGATAAGAAGGGAGATTAACTCTACCCTCCAAGGATGGCAAATAGGGCTGTCTTGATTTTGGGGTCTCAACAGATACATAAGCAAGAATGCCATTAAATCTCCCCAAAAGCACCATTCTTGGAAGAGCATCCAAGGATCCCAGCGTGAAAGCCTTCCTATATGACAAGGTAAGTAGGTGATAAAACTATTTAGGTATAGTGAATGGATTGTGGAAGATTGTTTAGCTGGTTTTCTCCATTTCTCACCTCACTGTTTCCATCTTACATTTTAAAAGGGACTATAATCCTAAACTAAAGCAAGAAATCAGCTGCATCTGTAAAAAATGACAAAATAATGATGCCTGTGCAATGAATCATCATGCAAATATCATTCAATTACGCATTGGTGTCATGACCTCTGACACAAGTATATTAAGTCATGGCATTTGCACGATGACATCATCACGCATGTGTCATTATTGTCCCCTCCACCACAGATTCCTATGTAAGAAATCCTGAGAAGAAATCAGCAGGAACAGGGTTCTGTGACCCCTCCCTTTCCATGACTCCCACCAGTTTCCTGATCAACATACTTGTCTCAGGAATCGCTCAGCCTACCTTTTCCAAGTCTGCGCAGCTGCCGAAATCTTGTTCCGACAGGTAACTGATCAGGGACTGGCCTTCCAAAGGCCTCCGGAACATCCCTTCCCCAGAGTGCAGGTACTGTCCAGTGTCTGGCATAGGGGGAAAAAAAGAAAGAAAGTTGTTTTCAAAGTCTTAGATGTTTCAAGAAGAGTTCCTGCAAAAGGAGGAAGAGGAGGAGGAGCAGGAACCCTCAGGTCTGGGGCAAGAAACCAAATCAATGAGAACATTTTGGAGGAAATGTTGATTGGACTTGTGTTAGCCATTCACTCCAAAAGTTGTGAGAGGAATCACGCTTCTCTGTGAAGTGTGGAAGAGTTCACATCCCACAGTGGGACTGAAATCTGATGAAGGACGCAGACTTTAGACTTAGGGAATCCTCTTCAGTGTAACTTCAGCTCAGTTGTTCTTCATATAAGGCTCTGATTAAGGAGCCCAAGAGGATGCAGTTATGCCACACATGTGGACAACAGGTCGACACAAGCTCTGCTGAAAGTATAGGCTACGAGGCTTTCCTTTAGGAACCAGGAAGCCGAGGTCGCAAAGGCATTAAGGCCAGCGATACATTTCAATGTCATTCTTCATTTCATTGTGATAGCAGTGATATTCCCCAGCAAAGGCAAGGAGCACAAATGAGAAGCATTATAGTCTCTATTTTGACACTGTGCAATGTTTGGCGTGCCAGAATAACGTGGACGGGGGAAGAAGGCCTCTGCTTAGCTGGTCCAGCAGGAACCAGCTGCGTGAACTTTTCTCTTTGCACACAGAAACATCTACTCCTGTTTGCCGTCTCTTCACAACTGGCATCCAAGATATAAGTATAATCCTGCACTGAAATCTCTCCCGTAAATAAGCCTTTCACATACATTCAATTTTTCTCTTGTTGAAACTGAGCGGGGGGTAAACTCCTGTTTCAGAATTTGGCCAATTCTGGACTTGGGACAGCTGGTGGAAAAACTATACTGTAGAAACCTCTCCCACCTTTTGAACTGGCTCTGAAGACAAAAGCTGGAAATTGAACCGGGCTCACCATATTCCATGTAGACTGATCCAGAGGTGCTTCCATCTTTACTCTGCATAGAACAGGACATGTTGCCCTTGTATTGAGAAATATCTCCATTGGATTCTAGATGCAACATGTAAAACAAAAGAGACCATCAACTGCCATGATCCACGTGGGGGGAAAGCCAACAGAACTGAGTGGGAGAAAGTGAGGAAAGATGGAACTATCATATCAAACCAGAAGGAGAGAACACAAATGTTGGTCCAACAGAGGCTCACAAGACGTAACAGCAGATATATACAAGCTGTTGCGGTGCACGATTTTTAAGAAAGATGAATGGAAAGGTTCAAAAAGAGGTTGGTTGCTAATGGACTAGTTGAATTGCTCCAGCAGATGACAGGCTTGGGTTCCAGAGAACCAGCTTAACTCTCATTTTGCACTCAACACACAGCCAAGTTTTGTTTTTCCCCTCAACAGAGAAAATTTGAAGCACCTGCACCCCAGAGGAACTGCATGAATTTCACTTCCGCACAAGACATCCACGCACATCTGCTTGGTTGAAGGAGGGGGCTGAGCCACTGTTTTGAGTCTACTGTCAAGAGACTGTTATTTAAATTTGCCCCAAAGCATTCCTATACCTTCTTTGTTATTGCTGCTGTCAGGTAAGATAAATGGAGCTCCCATAGTTGTGCATCAGAGAGAACATATTTCCTAGGGCATGTGCAAATGGGCTACTCAATGCAAGGTAGTTATCTCTTTTTCTCACCACACCAGCATGAAAACAAATCAGTGTGTTAAGCAATCAGTTAAACATGTGGAAGCATCATTTGAAACATGTGGCTTTCCTTCACCATTGCCACCTCTGAACGCAGGAACGGGGAAAACTGGGAATACGCCTGCATATGGAAGACTTGCACCCTAGTGAGGAAAGTACTCAGAATGTTTCTGCCCACTGTATTGTTCTCTATGTTCAGAAATATCACAGTACATAGCAGCACTTGATGGCCTTGATGGCCTCAAACAGCAAAGCTGGGTTCAGCTTTGTTGGGATGGGAGACCATCAGAAATCACAAGGGTGTTGGCTAGATGGGGAAGCCAGAAGACCACCCCAGAAAATGGCGGTTGGATGTCCATGTGGGCCCCAGGAGTTGAAGCCTACTTGAAGAAGACATTATCTTTACAGTCTTTTTCCCTTGAAGCAGGGTTCAGGCAGGTAAGTTTGATGGACAGTTAAGAGAGACTGTACTGTAGGATTTTATAGCTTGCGTGCACAGGTTTAAACAGGGGTGGAGCGGGGGGACTGATAACTGGGTCACCCAGATGACATTGTGCACAGCAAGAAGTACAATTTTTCCACTGAACTCCACAATAACATTGTCCTTTAGGGACTCTCGGCTTGTCTTAAACATTGCTCAGAAACTGCAGTTACTACTGCAGGGGGCTAGCACTTTCACCAAATCCTTGGAAGATGATGCCAATCATGTTTTACACTTACAAGGGGCAAAGAATTTGGAGCCAACCTCCTCTAGTCACCCTTCTCCCCCACATCCCTATAATTTATGAGATTAAGAGCATCCACGGTTGTTCCCACTGGCTAGCGGCCTTTCTGCTTCTTTCTCTTGGAACAGGGTGCAAAACCTGTGGCTTACAGCCCACAAGCTGCCTGCCAGGCCCTTTTCAGTCCCCTCAAAGCCCTCAAGGCTGAATTTTGGATACATAAATTACCACAGCAATTTGTGAATTACCGCAGCACAATTTTTAAGTGCTGTTTTAATGAAGCATAAACACTTGCCTGTTCTCCTATTCCAAAAACAAGAACACAAAACACAAAACCCCAAAGGCCACCCCAGCAAAGTCACCACCATGCCTCTTGTGGCGGTTGAAATGATAGTTGTCAAAAAGGCAGTCCTATTTTGCAAAAAGACTGGCCTCTCCTTGTCTTGGCAGCCCCAAGCCCCTGCACTCTTAGGACGCCCAAGGCTTCTTTTTCTGATCTGGCTTTTGACAAGCAATAGTTACCCTGATATGGAAAAAAATAATTTCACCAGGATGCTTCCACATTTATTTTCATACAGCAGGGCGCAGGATAAATGTAGCCTGCATACCTGCTCCCACACTGACCTCTTTCTGAAACTTTTGTCGTGAAGCTTTTCTGGAGCTCTGGAATGGCTGGACATAAGCCTTCCCTAAGGTTCCCAAAATCTGTGCTGATTCCAGATGGTCATAATTCTGGAACAGGCCAGACCTTGAGATCTTTCTTCAAGGGAAAGGTTTAAAAGCTTGAATTGAGTGTGAGTTTAACCTCCATTCAGACCAAGCAAGCTGTTGGTACCTTAGTTGGTGCTATTACTGGCATAAAAACAGGAACAGCGCATACAGTGAAATGAAGGTGATGGACGGAGAAACAATTATAGGAGAACACACACTGAGAACAGCCTTTCCCAACATGGCGCCCTTCACCAATGCTGGACTATAGCTCCCATTAGCAGCAGCCTGAATGTAAGCCAGCACAGCTTGAGAGCACCAGGTTGGGGACTTCTGCTATAGAAAATGCAATAGTAAAAGGAGAGAAGAGAACAAAGGCAAAGACGACCTTGGTGTCAAGTCTGTGAGTTTAGAAGTTCAGTCCATATTTGGTATCATTTCATGGGACTGATCTCTTGCCCATGGACGACTTGCAGCCCATGACAGAGGTGTGTTCTGTGGTGCAAGTATGCAGAATATTCATGCGGGGAAGAATTGGTCTTTTCTAAATTCCCAGTGGGAAGACATGCTTGCATCCATGACATCACGAGACCCTATAACCTAAGTCTTCCTCGTCCAGGAAGGACATCATATGAAAATTATCCTTAAAACAGTTGTTTTGACATGGCAGATCCTCTGGATGAATTAACATTTTTGGCTTCACAAAAGCCTTGTTGAGAAGTGCTCCAAAGTGGATTAATCTCTGGAGGGGAAACCACCTGCTGCGTGGGAAACTGAGCCTGCTCCATGTCAAAATGCTGAGTTGTGATGACTTTTTAGGGCTTTAAGGACCAAACTCCAAATGGTCCAAGATTCCCCCCTGCCATCTTGTTTTATTATAGCACCAGCCAAGGAAGGAAGGCCTCTATTTCTTTGCCTGAATAACCTTATAGAACGCC